TTTATATTATATAATCTACTGTCAAAAACAATAGCTACCTTTTCAGTACTTTAAATTTTACTATTTAGAATTTTTATGGTTCAAAATAATATTTCTATACGCTTTTTAAGGTATTTTCCTACAGTAGAAATCTAAATAACTTATACCTAAAATACTGACTCAAATTTATTCCAATAATTCATCGCTTTAATTAAATTTATGTTCCTTGGAGATAATATATGAAAAATCTTTTGTAATAATAAATTATTAATATATACAGGTAAATGGTGTTTTTATGTACTTTTCTATAGGAATTTAGTTTCATTACATTAGTTATTTAATAAATAGATACTTATAATTACGCGTATATGAGTATATGCATACTTATTCACAGAGATGGAATTTTTACAGTACGAAAATTAATTAATCTTTTTTACATCAAGAATTACACTGGTGTGCAAAAATTAAGGACGAAGTCGAAAAATTAGCATATCAGCTGAACGAAGAGGCAGAGCGGACAGAAAAGACCAATCAGGAGATTAAGTAAGGTGATGTACGGTAGCACATGCGCAGATATGCAGGTAGACGTAATGGGGGAGTGTCTGAGTAGTATAAAGCATGTTGTCGGTGTAAGATCAGTATTTCTGGCAAAGAGATTGCACGCCGTATAGCAGTTAAAATCACACCGAGTTGCTGCCTCAGCGAGAAATGGCGAATAATCAATCTGTTAGACGACATCTGGATGCTTTTACCCGAGGTCTAATCATTGGGAAGTTGGAGGGAGGCCGCAGTGTGACAAGTGTGGCTGCAGAGTTCGGAATTGCTCACAACATCTTTTCACGACTTTGGAGACAATTTCAAACTACAGGAACAGCTATTCGGGGGTTTAGTAGTGGTCGTCCACGAGAAATTACACCCGCAGATGACCGGTATATTGCTTTACAGGCCAGAAGAAACAGGCGGCAGACAGCGGCAGAAATCGCTAGACACATGACACATGCGACTGGACGACCGATATCGCGTTTTACCGTGACCAGAAGACTGCACGGTGGTGGTCTGTTTGCACGACGCCCTGTACGGTGTGTACCTCTAACACCTGCCCATCGGAGAAAGCGTTCTCTGTGGTGCCGGGAACACCGGAATTGGAGAGACAATGAATGGGGACGAGTACTCTTTACAGATGAGAGCAGATTCAGTCTGAGTAGCGATTCTCATCGCATACTCATCTGGAGAGAGCGGGGAAGCCGCAATCATCCCTCGAACATCATTGAAAGGGACAGGTATGGAGGTGGCGGTGTTCTCGTTTGGGGAGGCATCATGCTTGGTAGTCGTACAGACCTTCACATCTTCAACGCAGGTTCAGTCAACGGGACCCGTTATTGTAACGAGATTCTTCTTCCATATGTGCGTCTTTTTAGAGGCGCTATGGGTCCGCAGTTCCTTTTCATGGACGACAATGCACCATGTCATCGCACAGTAGCTGCCGAACAGCTCTTAGAGAGTGAGGATATTGAACGTATGGATTGGCCGGCACGATCTCCGGATCTCAATCCTATCGAGCATGTATGGGATTTTCTAGGCAGACGCTTGGCAGCTCGTAGCTTAGCACCAGTAACGATTCCGGAGCTTCGATTGGCGCTGCAAGACGAATGGGCAGCAATGCCTCAACAACTCATTGACACAGTCATTCTCAGCATGGGCAGACGCTGTGAAACCTGCCTAGCAGTCAGTGGAGATCATATCCCCTATTAAAGACCGGATGTTTCTTGCTGGACACCCATCACAGGGATGTTTCGGCCTTCAGTCGCATTGCGCTCCATGCTACTTTTTCAATAAAGCTTCTTTTTATCCCTCTGATTTCTCTTTTAGTAAGTGTTGCTTACATTACTCATGTCCTTACGTATTGGGGATCTTACGGTACTAAATGTGTTTATTTTGGAAAGCTTTTGTAAGTTATTATTGAAAAATTTAATTACTATTTAAACAAAACCCTGTAATATTTCTTTGTTAAATTGGGTTTTGTTATAAATTTTTGTTCTTTTGTTACTTAAATTTCTTCAGTTATTTCTTTAGTATATTTTTTTTTTTAGAGATTATTTTTTGATTGTTACGGTCTTTATTTGAGGTTTGAGTTTTTGCTATTTAACGTCTGTTTTGTTCTTGATATTTTCTTTTTTGTATTGTTGCGTTTTAAGGTTTTCTTATTTGTTTATTCATTTATTGTAAGTTTTGGATACTGTATTAATGTAAATTATATTTAAAAGTATTTGATTATATGGTTTACTTCATTTTGTGGATTTTTATTTAACAATTCAAAATTCTATTTAAAAGGTTGGTCGAATTAATGCTTTGAATTTTCTAATTGAGTTTGAAAGTAGCAAGTATTTAGTTGTATGGTTGAAAATTATGTAATTATTTAAGTTTTTAAAATTTAAGCAAGTTCTTAAAGATTTTAATATCTTTTTATTTGTAAATTGCTAAAGAGGGTTCATCTAGTTTGTTAACATTTGGTTTAGTGATTTAGTTGCTTAAATTTAAGTCAGAACTGAAAATAGGTTTTGCAGATACGCTCATACAATACAAATTATTTATAAAAAGCGGATGTGATTAAATGCTATTGTTTAATTTCCCAATAAAAACTGACAAATATACAGATAATAACAATATAGGCAGATAGCCCTCGAGGCTTTGCCATAATTACACACACACACAAATGCGTTATGTTACGGGTGGAAATCTTAATTCAGACTGAATTAATTTTGGTTCTCGATGCATTTTTATTTGATAATTAATACTGATGTAAAATTACTATCGTCTGCTTGAGTTTTAGTTCTGTTTACAACACCAAATTATGTAAGAGTTATACGACATGGATTAATCTCAAAATGATACAGTGCAGAGAGATTACTATTTTTAGAATAGAGAAGGAAAATTAATTTTACGCTGCTAATTTAATCTTTTACATATTCTTTATTTTTCTTACATATATATATATGTACATATATCATTCGATGGTTGTGAATCATGACTTTATCTTTTTATTAATTTTATTTTCAAAATTATATAAAGGGAGTTTAAAATTTTGTAAAGAGAATTTATACAAACATTTTGTAATATGTTTATAGATATTGACATGCATTGAGAAGGACAGGGGCTTGTAGGCTTCTAGATATTTAAAAAATTTTATTAAGTTTATTCGCATTGAATTTTATTTAAAATTACATGCTTTCTCCGCCATTTAGTTCTGTACATTTCATCAGTGCTAATTATGTACTTCTACTGGTTTATGTTTTTATTTACTAGTTTTTATGGAAATTTTATCTACAGTTCTATTTTTGTGTATTGTTTTTTATAGGGATTCTGTATATGGATACCCGTTCTATGCGCGATTCTATGTACGGATACTCCGCTACGGTATAATTCTATTGGTTTTGTTTATGGATTATTGTCTACTGTTTTGAGCAGCGATTTTTCCAAGAGGTACCTTTATTGGTCTGTGGATTTTTGTACTGATTTTTACAGGGATTTGGCCTTACGGATACCTATATAGGTGTATGTGTTTTTGTCTGCTGGTTTTTACGAGGCACAGACCTACGGAATATCATTTTTAATGGAGTTTTGGCCTATGGATATGCATAAAGTTCTGATTTCTGGCTATGGGTTTTACTGGGATTTCGTTTATAGTGTCTACAGTTCTACAGGTTTCTACAGATATTTAGCATATTCGTATTGTACGGGTTTCTGTCTGTGGATTTTTACGGAGAATTGGCCTACCGTAAAAAAAAATTTTATGGGTTTCTACGGGACATTTTTAGCAGGGTATATGCATACGCCCTTATTTGGCCACGTCAAAACCTCATATTCTCCATTAATAAATTCCCGACGCAGTTGTTCTAGATAAGTGCGGGTACCGGAAGACACCTGATTTGTCATATAAAGCCGTCCGGGTGTCCGGGCCCTGCATTCACCTGTCACCTGTCTCATAAGTGTGCGACATTACTTTAGGTTAGGGGAAACCATACCCTTTGATAAAACTCATTTGTGTCCGAAAAATCACATTTTTATTCGTTTGTATAATATGCTCAAATTGTGCATTTTTTGTTTACCGACAAATATTGTCAATAAAATTTCATTGTTAGTAGATAGAAAATGGGGGTTCTGCATCAGGAGGGTCAGAGGGTCAGGGGGCGTGGTCAATGACGTCACACAGAGGGCGGGGCCAAAGGCAACGTCATCACACTAGGAGGCGTGGTCACGAGTAGAGTTGAGGTGTTGGTAGATTGCTGATTGAGTTGTAGACCTCCTGCTTTTCATTTAAAGTTAGTTTTTTTAATTTGGCAACGGAGTCATGGGGACCTCTAGGGACGAAAAAAGAAAATAATGTATTTAGGAATTGCTTATGGCGTCCTCTAGAGACGAAAAAAGAAAATAATCTATTTTAGAAGTTTCTTTTATTAAAAAAATGTTCTATGATTCAAAATATAGGATCGAACCCTGAAACAAAATATCTGCTTTTCTGGAAAGAAATAACTGTTAAAAATATTGGAAAGAATAACATAATACTCATTAAAATTTCACACACACACACACACACACACACACATGGGCTTTTATCGAAAGCCTCAGCTTTCTGACACCTGAGGGTCTCTCTTCACAGTTTCACAGTCATGGGGTTTTTTTTTGAATACCCAGGTGCCAGCCCCTTCCCATAACTCCACTGTGAAGTCATTGACCACTTTAAAAATAATCCATTTTGTTTTCCATTAAACATTATTTATATTGATATGCCCATAGGCTAAGGAGTGCACTCCATCCTTTAAAATATATCTTTTATCATCAAAAGCTGAAAGTGCGATTTTATTTATAGCCATGGTAAAAAGATGATGGTTCTTACTCTGAATATTATATTGTAATTCTCTGGTGAAGATAGATTTCTTTCTCTAAACAATCTCTATAATTTTTATGTTTAAGTTTCCTTTTAATAACACTTCGTTTAACTCCTTTCGCGGTTTTCTTCTCACTTTCATCATCCAACAGTAGAGAGTACATTTTCGCCCTCAGTCCTATAAACTCCAGTATTGGTTCGGAATTCATTTCATCTTTGAAGCATCCAATTTTCTTTTTATTATTGATATTGTATAAAGCATGAGTCTTCGGATAATCTGACATATCGTACAGATGCGTATGAAAACTCATATCTCGATATACATCTTCTGTTAAAATTTCGTACGTGAGAGAGTCTGTGTCAGTAAAAAGTAGCTTGGCTCTTTCTCCATATTGTTTTTTGATATGATTGTAATGAAAATTGTACATATGATATTTACTAAGTTCTAGTATGACAAATCCTACATATATGGGCCTGTTTAAGCTAACACAGTTTTTCAACCTTTGTACTCCAACCAAATCATTATCAAAAATTCTGAAATTATGAAAGGTTGGTGCAGCTACCAATTTTTTCGCTTTTTTTTTTTCTGTATTGACTAATTGGACATCAACATGTTTCCTCACGTTTTCCATAGTTTTACCGTACACATTATTGTTCATTAGTTTAAAAAAATCTTTCTCATATCCTGTCTGTGCATTTTTACGTTGATCTGTATTAAACTGTATATAAGGTTGTAACCAAGCTTTTTGTTTAAATTTTATAATTTTGTGAACATGCATTAATTTCATACCTAAAGAGAGATATAACTGTAAATTTTTATGATAGATGACATAATTAAATTTAGGATTTAAATTAGGAACTAATTTAGTATTCGAGATAAATTTATTATTTTTCAGTACACTGACTGCATAAGGTGAAAGATGATTAGCTATTATTTTCATTTTTTCTGGAGCTAAGGGATAATCGTTTATGAGCATTATGAAGTTCTTTGGGATATTCAAGGTCTACTTCCAAGATGTATCCATCCAAACTGTCTTCTGATAAAGTCAAAATCTTTTCTATGACATTCTTATGAGGTTCAACCCACTCAAAACTTCCATAGGGTAAGGGTTGACTCATAGCCCACCCGTAGAGATTGTTTGCATCAAGGTATAAGATATATTTACTTTCTTTAGTTGAATCAAAATTTTTCAGATATTTATTATTTGCTACAGACTTACGCTGGGTAATCATGGACACACCTCCACGAATGCCCTGCTCTATAAATAAATGCATATTAACATCCGTTAATAATTCCAAAGCTTGATCAGTCATTTTTAAGCAGGCTTGCCAAGCTAATCCAGGTGCAGTCATCAAATGCGCACAATCTAAACTATAGTAAGTTTTACAAAGCTGTCTAAAATTTTCAAACACATCTGCTAATTGTAAAACATCACTTTTTACGTATAAATCATGATATTCACCTAAATTTTGAATATGAAAAGCTTGCCAAACAGTTTGAGCATGAATGTAATCATCCGAAGATATACTTTCATTCACCAGTTAAAGTACTTCGAAAGTTCTCTATGGATGGTAACTGAGTATCTTTAAATTTATCAAAAGAGTTGATATATTCATATGGATATATTCCCTTCCGTAATAATAATTTTATGTTTTGATCATTGGGAAAATTTTCTTTTAAAATCTTAAATTTTTCTTCAGGCAAGTTAGATACAAGTTTTTCCAAAGACGCGTTCATAAACTGTAAACTATCAATAAAAATTAAAGATATTCTTAGATTATTCCATTTTCTTTTTTTAATACTGAAAGAAATATATTTTTCCATATTATTAGGTATAACATGAAACTCCCTGTTTTGAATTTTGCCGATGCCTTGCATGATTAAATGTGCATCATAGTGTTTTAAATTATGAAATACGACAGGAATTTTCTTTTGAAGTTTAAATTTCAAATTGCACTTATTGTGCAGAGCTCCTCTATACTTTCCCGTAAGATGATCGTGATCTTTTACACGATCATTATTCAAATTTTTTTTTGCATAAGTAGCAATGAGTTGCATTTTTAAAATTTTGTTCATCTTGAGATGTCATGGAAAGAGGTACAATACTATATAATTTTTCGGCTATTTCCTCTTCTTCACGTAAAATATTTTGTATAAAATGGTCTACTGCATTGGACCTCTGTATACTGTTACAGGTTTAACGCTTTTCCCATCAGGTCCTACAATTATGTAAGCATATCCGCAAGCTTTATGATGATGTATTTTTTTCTGTAAAAGACGCAGTAGCTACATCAGGTGTACAAGTGTCTATGTTTTCAATTAAAGCTTCAAAATCAGCATAAATAATGTACGGAATAGACTCTTCATATTGATAATTGGTATATTCTAATATTTTTTCTTCTTCTGATGGCATTTTAATTCTCTGTATGTTTTGATGTTGACAGTATTTTGCATGTTCTTCTAACAGGTTTTCACGGGTGAATCTATGCAAGCATCTCATGCAATAGAATGTGCTTGCACGATGTTTTGTGAGATCACCTAATAACCGGGACATATTTCTTATTAAGCAATAATGTTGTTTACTGTCATCACTGATTAAAAGTAAATTAATACAATCAGTTTCTTTTCTTTTCTGTTTGAAATGTAGAGGGGAAAGACTTCTTTTTTCTTCATATCCAAATACATTTATTCTAAGATTATTTAGTTTTTCAATAGATGGATATTTTTGTAATAGGAACAGGGCATTCAATATTTCCTAATTTTATTTCATGTTCATAGGGTTTATAATGATTTACTCGGTTTGCATTATTTTTTTTTCTCTAGAAAGATCATATTTGTGTGCAAGTAAGCACCACACTAAACATTTTTTTATCATCATTTTGAATGTTTAAAATAGCTTTTTTCATGGCAAGTTCTTTGGGAAGAGGTATATAACTACTAGCGGCTAAGGGATGATATCGAGCTGTGCAGAGTTCTAATTTTTTCAATTTTATCTAATGTCCATCCCGAGCCATTTTGTAAAAATTCTTCAAATGATTTTTTTATCTTGTTATAGGCCTCATTCAATTGTACTTCAATGTTCTCTATTGTTAAATTTGTGAGGCAGGTAGATCTAAAATGTGGATTTAATAACTTAACCTCTTCGTCCCCATCATGTCCTATTCTAGAGAACTGTGCTGTTACTATAATGTACCATTTTAAAGCCTTTTTCTCATTGATTTCTTCCTCGAGTTTCGACATAATATTTAATTTGATATTATTTAAAAATATTTCTAGATCTTGATTAATTTCTTTGGTGGCGATAATTGTAAAAGAACTGAAGACATTTAAGGCCGACGCTGCATGCTTCATTCGCTTGTTTAATGGATGGGGGTTATTACTTTTCCTTTTAATACTTTGAACAGTACCATGTTGAGTACGGTCATGTTTCATTAGATCATGTTTTCTGCTAAACACGTCGTTGCATTTTTCACATGAAAAGGTATTTTTTTTAACATGAATATTTTGTATGTGTCTTCGTAAATTATCTGCTCTCGTAAACTGAGCCTGACATTCTTCACAGTGAAAGATTTTTCCCTCATGTGTTTTCGAATGACGAACTAAATGACTTTTATTGCTAAAACTTTTACCACATATGTCGCAAACCTGTGAAAGATAGAAAAGCGGCTTTCAATATGCATGCTTTCCTCATTATAAAATTACGCATTTTTAATTATCCCTCACTAAAAAAAAAAATTTAATTACATAAATCATTTTAGAAATCGTTTAGTATTAACTCTTTACGTTTAAAGAATTTTAGTTTAGTTTAAAAATCTCTCTCTCACTACTTTTTTTCCTAATAATCACACATTATACAACAACGACTGAAGGGAAAGAGAACCATTGAATAAATAACTATATCTGCAAGTCACTATTAAAAAGAAAAAAATGTTACCTCTCTTGTACTTGGTTGAGGTTCCATTCTGTCAGAAGTTAGAGAGTTGAATTCCTCCTCCTGAATTCCAAAGTTGATAAACTAAGAAAAAAAAAGAGAAAAAACTGTGTTAATAAAAAATATTTTTTTAGAATATTCAAAAATGATTAATGTTTAACAGTATTTGATACTTCATTCATTATCTTATAACAAATATACTTTTAAAATAAAGATTCAAAATAAAAGCATCTTCTCTCATAAAAAATAGTTCATTCATGCATTAAAAATATCATGCAACGATATACAAACTCGACTGATTTCCTTCAGACTCTTACAAATGCTTTAACAAAATTTTTTTTGAACTCTAAACTATGTAAATAGCAGCAGGCTATTTAATTCAAATCATACTTGAAGCAAACATATAAATCATGCATTAAAAATAGATTGATTATAATTCATTTTAAAAAGTTCATCTAGTCTGGAAAAAAAAATAATAATTAAAATAATATATAACAGTTCTAATACTTACGTTGGAAGAAACAGATTGGTGATCTTGTTCAAAAGCCATCGCAAAAAAATATTAAGCTCTGTGAATCAAATCAGGAAGACTTGCTCTTTTCAAGGTTGAGAAGAGAACTGACTTTTTTCCATTTCTGAAACACCTTTTATAGGGATTAAAGAATGTTCTCGAAACATTTCAGATTTGTATAATCTGAACCAGGACAACAACAACATTATGATAACCCTTTCTTTCGAATACGATTTCAACTTCCATTAACCCTTATCATAACGTGAAGTCTACAACGCTTATCAAGGATCTTCCTTCACTTCTGTATGTATTGTCAAACTTGGAATAGCAATAACAACCTTAAGATAATACATTCTTTCACATATGATTATCGGAGTTTTAGAAATTTTCCATTACTCTATCATGATAAGTGGATGATGCTTTTAAGATTACCCTTATGCATATATGTATAAGTAATGTCAAACTTAAGAATAACAACTCTTTCAAATAAGTTTTCAGTGATTATCAGAGTTTTCCATTAACCTATCTTACCATGATAACGCAATAATATAATGACGCCTTATAGACTGTCCTTCCCAAACAAGACAAGACAAGAATGTATTACGATAAGTGTTGAGGATAGAATTAAATATATTGGTGAAGATATATTTTTATGTATTAATTTTAAAAATATAAGAGATTCTTTAAGGCAGAAAAAAATGTTTCATTTATTTTGTGATAGGTTTTTTTGAATCGAAATGTTATGAAGATTATAAAAATGCACTAATATAAGTACAGCTATTCTATTTAAATTTCTGTCTTTGGTTGATGTTATGAGTATTTTTTTTTCCTTATGTTTTTTTAATAGAAATATATTGAAATTTTAGTTTTAATTTTAAAGCAAACATGTATATCAAATATCAGTAAATGGATATTGTTGTTAATTTGATATTAACTAATGAAAGAAAATTCCAAGTATATTTTATGTATAATACAGAAATTTATTCTTTGAAAATAAATGTATTGAAAGGTAAAAGCTTCTTTGTGAAATGAATGTTTTTCATAACATTTAAAAACGATGTAAAACAAATATTGATTGTAGAGAGAAGAAAGAGTCTATATGTAAAAATAATAATTTTATTCATTTAATAAGGTTCCCATTTTCGTGGAGAACGTATATGTTTTACAGATTTAACATGCAATACATTTTTTTCATATTAACATCATGATTCTGTAA